GAAAGGAAAGAAGGAGGGATGAAGGTAGGGAGTGAGCATAGGAAGGAAGGAAGGAAGGAAGGAAGGAAGGAAGGAAGGAATTAAGCAGGCAAGCAAGCAGGCAAACCAGCAACTCACCACGCATAGCTCTCATTGCTAGAGTTCTCTATGATTTTGCCCGCAGATATTTTCCATCTAAATCTAGACTTCCATTAAATACCAGACACTGAACCCATGTGATGGGAATTGGGTCTTGCCTGTCCATCCTGCATACCATTTCCTGCTGCTTGCTGTGACTCCGTTCTGAACTGTAGCTGATTCTGTAGTGCTGAACTGCAGCATCCGGAGGAGTCCAGTGAACCCGAAGGCTGCTGGGGGTCTCCGAATCCACATAGAGATTGGTGGGTGGGTTCTTGGCAGCTGAAAAGGAAGAAAATCCAGGAGAGCAACTGAGCTGTACGAGAAGGATAGGCAAAGCCTGGGGGTGGGGTCAAGAGAGGTATTAGCTTGGAGTCATTACGTTCCCACAAACAACCTTAAGCCAACCCCTCTTGAATTCCATTAAATCTTAAATACAACGTACGACCACAATTGAGCCCCAAATTTCTGTTCCTCGGTGAGACATTTGTTAAGTGAGTATTCTCCATTTTACAACTTTTCTTGCAAACAGCTGTTAAGTAAATCGCTGCAGATGTTAAGTTAGTAACACGCTTGTTAAGTCAATCTGTCTTCCACATTGGATTTTGCTTGTCAGAAGGTTGCAAAGGGGGATTACATGACTGAGGACACTATAACCGTCATAAATATGAGTCACTTGTCTATGGAGATTCTCAGTCATGGTTGTCCCAAAGGTGCCTTTTTCAAGAGGCAACTGGACTTTCTGGAGGGGGGGGGGGTGTTGGAGATGTTTTGCTTCTGATCCAAGAAGCTTCTTCAGTTCTGACTGGATGGTGGGGAATAGAAGTCAGTTGTCAAGTGAATTCTGATCAATGACCATGGGGATGCTGAAATGGTCATAAGTGTGAAAAATTGTGATAAGTCACTCTTTTTAGTGCCATTGTAAATTCGAACAGTCATTAAACGAACTGTTGTAAGTTGAGGACTCTCCATAGTGCTGATTTAGAATGGCCATTAGTTAACTAGATTTTTGGATACAGGCATGAGTAATAAATCAGCTTACTTAGAACTTAATATGTATGTTTGGTTTCTTCATATCCGACACAAACCCTTCATTTATCCTAGGTCTCCTGCAATTCCCCTTTTACCCTTCCCACTGTCCCTCTATGGTTGAAATTGCTACGTTTTCCAGTTGTAGGAAATTAATTTTAAGAGTATTTCTTACTAATCTCCATCCATAGAGATCTTTGGCCAAAGACCCAATTCCATTATCTGTTTGGAGACAATATACATTTGCTGATTAACCGTGCAGCCAGTAAGACATCCAGACCCGGATAAATAATACAAATCATTTTTATTGATGCAATAGTGATTAAAAATAACCCCACGGAAAATGTGAAACAGAATTTATACTCTCTTGGATAATGTTACGAGCTCCCTCCGGAACCTTGGAAAATAGAAAAGGATTTTGCAAGGACTGAAGAATGTCAAATAAGAAAGTGATTAAACACACACACACACACACACCCCAAAAATATTCAGAGAAGGAACACTGGGATTTTGCACAGCCAGAAACTCAGCTCTCTGGCATTCTGGACAGGGACTTCTGTTCTGGTAGCTCTTCTGATTTTAATTATACTGATAATAATTTTTATGGTAATTACATGAATTTTATGCTCCTGCTTTATAGTTTGCATTTTGTCTTGAGGTTGGAAGTCAGCCATAAAAAAGCAGAAAGGTGGGGAATAAATTCAATCATCACCACCATTGTGGCAGCGGGGATGATTTCCAAATAAATTCAGGAAAAAAGCAATAAACTGATATGGGCTGATATGGGACCAAAATATGAGGCTCTTGTATGAAATAGGGCGGGGAGAAACTGCGGCAGGCAGGCAGGAGAAGTGGAAATACCTCGGCAAATTTTTAAAAAACGAATATTTTTTAAAATATTTTATTTTACCCAGATTATCATGAAGCAAATCTATCTACGCTGATGGCATATAATCAATCCATCCATCCATCAATCGTAGAGCTTTCCATTAAAACATGATTGCCCTGTTAGATTCTAAAGCAAGGAGAGAACATGAAATAATGATTTATCTATTTTTTTTTTAATGAACAAGACCAACAGATTTGAATTAGGAGAATAGTAGCACAAAAATGGCAAGAAGGTTGAACATAGTACAGGTAATCCCCGATTTACAACCATTCAGTACAGGTAATCCCCAATTTACAACCATGTTAGTGGCTAACATTAAAACAGCCGGGGGTTGGTTGGAATGGTTTGGACTGGTTCGAGTGAACCAGATGTTACAGTTACAGCTGGTTTGCCGAACCGCTATTTCAACCGACTGGCTGGGCCGTCCCCTCCCCTCCCTTCCTTCCCCTCCCAGGACTCTCCACAGGGCCCATTTTCAATGGGGGTAAGTGCAGGGTCTACGCGGAGGCTCGGGGGGGGGGGATGGGCCTTCTGGAAGTCCAGAAATGGGCCTATTTCCGGCTTCCAGGGGGCCTCCAGAGGCTGGCGGAGTCTGTTTTCATCCTCTCAGAGGTCCAGGGATGGCCTCTGGACCCTTGGGAGGGTGAAAACAGCCTCCCCCGGGCTCTGGAGGCCCACCGGAAGCCGGAAACAGGAAGTTCTGGTAGGCTATGTCCACCATGGCCACAGCCACTTAGCAACCGGGCGGTGAACCGGTTGCTGGGATTTTTGAACTCCACCCCTGACAACAGCCCTGAAAAAAGTATCATGGCTGTTTTTTTCATGCTTATGGTTGTTGCAGCATCCCTGTGTGATCAATATTCGGACACTTGGCAACTGACTCATATTTATGACGGTTGCAACCTTCTGAGAAGTGAAGCCAATAGGGGGGGGGCAGATCCATTTAACAACCGTGTGACTAACTGAACAACTGCAGTGTGAACCACTGAACTGTGGCGAGGAAGTTGGCCAAATGGAGCAAAACTCACTTAACCGTCTCAATTAGCAACCAAAATTTTGGACTCCATGGTGGGTCATAAGTCGAGGATTACCTATACCTCAAATCCCCCTTCTTCAAATATTAATGTATTTAGTACTTGATTGAAAATATGAGAATATATACAATGTAATTGTAATTGAAGACTACGAAAATGGAAGCACAAAACAATTTGTAAACCAACCGGCACACTGTTATGTATATATATGGAAGATGGCTTGATGTTTTTATGTTTTGTTTGTCTATGTTCATCTAAAAAACCAATAATTTTTTTTTAAAAAAAGAATCTGAATAGTACTAACAGTTAAAGCAAATTGGTGGTAGATAAGAGCCAATGAAATTCATGGTGGGCTGGACTTGGATCTGTTGTGGGCACAAAGGGATTCAAGACTGATGACATGTTTGTCCCCCTCCCCAGGCCATCTCCTACAGTTTTGCCTGATTTTACTGTTCTGACCAAGGCTTCCGAGACCATAATTAAGCACATGCTTAGTTAAAACAACTTTAGTTTTGTTTCAACTCTGGGAATTATGTTCATTCCCAGCCTGTAATGAGTCCCAAACTGTCCTTCGAGATAAGCACCCATCTTTCTCTCCTTTGAAGTGCTGTCAACAATTAAAGTGCCAAATATAACTGTTAAAAAAACCAACCGAAGTACGGAGTCCACACAGAGCTTCAAGGTTTAATCCGAACACAATGAATGACTTTGCTTCCTGCAAAGATTTCTTCACCTTTGCCTGTCCATTATAGATTATGGGAGGAGCAATCACTCCCAGCCTTACTCCCGAGTCGCCCCTTTTGTTTCAGTTGCTCTTGCCTTCTAACAGCTCTACGTACATACGCACTGGGAACAGGCTCCCCGGGGTCCTCTGCCTTGCTGCTGCCAGACTCTGGAGGCTCCGGAATCAGTACACAACTCTCAGATGGTCCTGGCCCCATCTCCACATTGGATGCAGGACCCTCATCTAAGTCCTCTCCAGACTCCCGGACTGGTTCCCGTTCTTCCCCACTGTCCGATTTTGCTGCCATCTGCACAGGCTGCCAGCAAACCACAACATTTACCACCTTTCTTGCCACAGTTGTTAAGTGAATCATGCAGTCGTTAAGTTAGTAATGCAGCTGTTAAGTGAACCTGGCTTCTCCATTGACTTTGCTTGTCAGAAGGCTGCAAAAGGGGATCACATAACTCTGGGACGCTGCAATTGTCATAAATATGAACCAGTTGCCAAGTGTCCGAATTTTGATCACGTGATCAAAATGGAGATGCTGCCATGGTTGTAAGTGTGAAAAATGATCCTACCTCACTTTTCTTTGTTGAAACTTTGAATATTCACTAAATGAATGGTTGTAAGTTCGGGAATACCTGCGTTGAAAGCAGGAGAAACAGAGCATCTGGCAGATCCAGAATGAAAGCAAAAAAGGATTCTGAATTTGCCACAAACTCTCATTCATAGTTTTTTTTTTCAAACAATCATTAGTTCAATTCTATATGTCCCATGGAGACGATTTTCTAAGTTAGCTGTAGTAGCTTGAATACCAGTTCGGTTTTTAAGGTGAAAATAGGGAATTTGCTTCGCTTGTTTGTTTGATTTATATATATCCGCCCAATTTCACATAAGTGATTCTGGGCAGATTACAATCAAATAGATCAAAACAATAAAAAAACCCTAATAGAAAATAAAAATGAATATAGCAGCTGAAGCATCATAAAAAAAAAAAACATTCAGCAAAATGGTTAGCTGAATCACATAAACAGGGAAACAGTCCAGGAATGACTTGGAGGTAAATATTTAAGACTGCCCTTAAAAAAATGGGAGACGTTCTGTTCCATCAATTAAGTCTACATTTGGAAGTGAGGAAAAAAATTGAATGTGATTCCTGCCACATAAGACCATTAAATTATCTCCTCCTCCTCCTCCTCCTCCTCCTCCTCCTCCTCCTCCTCCTCCTCCTCCTCCTCCTCCTCCTCCTCTACAACGTTCTTATTCTTCTGACAGCCTCAAAACATTAAAACTACATTGCAATTGTCTACTTGAACAATTCCATACTTGGGTGTGCTTCCCAATAGCAGTGCTGGAGAAGACTCCCTTGAACTGCAAGGAGATCCAATCAATCGATCCTAAAGGAAATCAACCCTGGCTGTTTTTTGGAAGGACAGATGTTAAAGCTGAAATATTTTAGCCATTCATCGGAAAAGACCCCAATGTTGGGGAAGATGGAGGACAAGAGGAGAAGAGAGTGGTAGTGTTGTAACTAGTAGAGCTGGCAGTAGAGTCGGACAGTGAGGAGGTTGGGGAGGAAACTAGGCCAGTCCTAGAGGCTGAGGAA